GACCCCTACATCTCCATCCCCATGACCCCTACCTTCCCTCCCCATGACCCCTACCTTCCCTCCCCATGACCCCTACATCTCCATCCCCATGACCCTTACCTCTCCCTCCCCATGACCCCTACCTCCCCTCTCCACGACCCCTACCTCCCCATCCTTATGACCCCTACATTTCCATCCCCATGACCCTTACCTCCCACTCCCCATGGCCCCTACTTCCCCATCGCATGGTTCCCTGCTCCCCATCCCATGATCCCTACCTCCCCATTGCCATGACCCCCAACCTCCCCACAGGTCCCAGCAGCAACTATTTCAACCTCCCTAAGGCACTGCAGCATAGACTATCATGAGCCCTACCTGCCTGTGGCTCTCTAACCTCCCTTTGATGCCCTATCTCCTCAGTCTCTGGCATCAAGCCCTCTTTCTCTTCCCGGTCCCCGACCTCTTCACTGTGTCTAGCATCCAGTGATCCCTCGACCACGGTCCACAGCATTGAGCCCTAGATCTCCCTGCCTCCCGGTGGTTCCGCAGCACTGAGCCCTGCAGTTCCTTACCTCCCCACGGTCCCCCAGCATGGAGTCCCTCGGCTTGGGGAGCTGCTGTCCGCTGATGATCCTCAACACCAGCTGCTTCTTGAGCTGCCCGGGCAGTGGATCCTCAGAGTTGGGGTTGAAGACACCTGAGGGCCAGGACAGGAAGCTGAGCCCACACAGGTTCCTGACAAGCATCAGTCTACAAAGGGGCAGATGCTCCCTCCTCACATTGAACAGGTGGACCCCAAGGTGGTATGTGGGAGACGATGAGGACTGAGCAGTGACTCTGAGCCCAAGAGTCACCCCTTGTCCTACAGATGAGCTGGGGCTCAGGCATCTGTGCAAGGATATGCTGCCTCTGGGTGGTGGGCAGGACCTCCAGGCTTGGAGTGACATCTAGTAAGGAGGGGCCAGGAAGTCCTTGCGGGGTGAGGGACCCTGGAGAAGTGGGGACTAGGTCCTAGGAACCCCTGTAGGGTAGGGGATTTTAGTGGTGTAGGGGCCCTGGGAGCCCTGATGGGGAGGATGACCCTGGTAGGAGTGGGCCCTGGAAGCCTTGTGGGGCGGGAGACCCTGACATGGACAAGCCCAGACGTGGGCAGCACAATAGGAAGTTTATAGGCTGCTAACTTTCAGGGCAGGAGGACAAGTCCAGATAAAATGTGGTCAAATACAAACCAAGAAGGCACAGGGGAGGAGGGATGAGGATTAAAATGGAGGGGGGGAAAGTAATTTTCATCATGTCAGGGATAAACTGAAGCTTCTGAAAGCAGAGGATGGGGCAAAGGCAGGAGAGTGGAGGGAGAGGGAAGGAGAGAGCTTTTAAAAACGCCCATCCCTTTTTCATTAAAATTAATTAAAAAATGATTTTAAAAAATAACCCAAAAAACTAGCTGCCTCCCAGGGCACATCAGTCTACAAGCCCTGAAGGTGGGGACAGGCTGGGATAGCAAGGAGCTGGCCCTGCACCCCCCAACCCATCCTGCCCACACCTACCAGTAAATGTCTAGGGACCTTAGAGAAGAAGAGGCCCTCTGATCACCACTTCCAAATCCTTAGCCAAATTCTAGGTCTTTCATGAAGATCCTGTCCCAGCAGGGGAGAGGCCTCCAAACCCAGCATCTCGGGAGCAGTACTCCACAGACTTCGCACCAGAAGAAGCTTGTCTATGTTATTGTTTAGTGCAGTGCCCACCCCCCCAGCTCTTGGCCCTCCTGGCCCAGCCCTCCCACCATACTGCCTGCCCCCTGTGTCCCGGCACCTCACCCTGGCACATGCACGGAGGCTTGAGCACGTAGCCACAGTTGCCATTGGCACTGAACTTGGCGCGGTTGAGCTGCAGCATGCGTCCCTCTGACTGGTAGTTCAGGGCCACTGCAGGACAAGGTGTGGGTCACTTGTCACACTGGGCTGTCCTTCCACCACAGGTACCTGACACCCTATTCCCCATTGCCTGGTTCCTGATGGCACACCCCTGAAGCCCAGCACGGCCGTTCTCCTGCAGATCTCAGGCCCCACCATACATTGGTGACCTGTTTCTCCTGAGGATCCGGCCCAGAGCTGGTGGGATGGGGTGGAAATTCTGGGATCCCTCGCTGCCTCCCCAGTGGGCTGCTCCCAGGCACCCACCCATCTGGCAGCCAGCATTCCAGAAGGGCTGTGGGTTGTAGTTGCTGGAGTCAACGCGGTAGGACGAGGGGTAGATGCGGGACAGCTGGTGCTGGTTGAAGCGCAGATACTGCGCCGGCTTCTGCTGCAGGATCTGATGCGCCTTGGTCTCACTGAAGGATGACACCTGCCAGCTGGATGCCACTGGGAAATGCAGACCAATGGGTCTCAGAGGGCAGGCTGACCAGCCTCAGGTGATGTGCATTCCATGTGCACCCCAAGATCCCCACCGTGTACCGTGAGGTCATAGCCAGCAGGGCTCAGGGCTTCCCAGAGTGCATTTGTCTCCCTGACATGCACCCCAGTATCAAGGGCCACCCAGAAAGAAGGAAACCTTCCCCACTGTACACTGGGCTCATGGTCGGCCAGGCACCCACACACAGTCTGCTCCAGGCCCAGCTCTGCTCACCCTCGGTCTCCACGTCATGAGTTCCCACAGACTTGGTGTACTTCACCAGATCTGACAGGGCCCGTGACAGCTTCATGGTCTTCTTCTGCCGGGTCACCCTGTGGGGTGGATGGTGTAGGGGTTTAAAGAGCCTGAGTTCACACAGGGGCCATGGAACATGCACCATCAAAGGAGCACATGGCAAGTACTGGTGCTGCAGACCACGGGGGCCAGGGGATGGGGGGGCCACATTCCCAGATTCAGCCCTACAGGGCCAGCAGACAGTGGGGATCAAGGTCCTGGAGGGAATGAGGGGCAGGCATGGAGCAGGAGGAAGTCCTCTTAAGAGAAATGAGGGCTTCTGGAAGGTTCTGAGTGGAGGAGAGACCAGGACAGAAGGAAACTGTCAGGGTGAAATGTGGGGGTTCCGAGGGTGTGCTGAGTGAGAACAGAGCTGAAGGACATGGAGTGTCAGCTGTGACAATGGAAAGGATGGGGAGATACTGGGGATGGGAGTGTGAAGTGGAAGGGATGAAGGATGGGGGCGGTTGGAGGGACCAAGGATAGAAAACAGAGGTGACTAGGAATAGAGTGTGGGGCACAGAAGTTAGGGATAGATAGAGGTGACAGGGGATAGAGTGGGATACAAGTAGGCCTAGATTTAGAGGGCAGATCTGAGAGGTACCTGTGGAGGGAGGGTAATACAATGTACAGCATGGAGGGAGGGACAGACAATGCACACCCTGGAGGGAGGGACAAACAATGCACACCATGGCAGGAGGGACAGACAATGCACACCATGGAGGGAGGGTCATACAATGCACACCATGGAGGGAGGGTCAGACGATGCACACCATGGAGGGAGGGTCAGACGATGCACACCATGGACGGAGGGTCAGACGATGCACACCATGGAGGGAGGGTCAGACGATGCACACCATGGAGGGAGGGTCAGACGATGCACACCATGGAGGGAGGGTCAGACGATGCACACCATGGAGGGAGGGAGATGGGAGGGTGGGATAATCTCATTTGTCTGTGGGGGCATTTAAAGGCTGATTATGACCTTTTGGGATTGCAGTGTAGCTTCTTGCCACCAGGCCACCAGAACTCCCCTGATCATGACCTTTGGAAGGGTGTGAGGCTAGGGGGTGGGGTGGACTAAGGAGCAGAACCCTGGGAGTGGAGGGGGAGCAGAAGAGAGGGAATCCTGGAGGGTAAAGGTGAGCGAGGGTGGAGAGTGTCCAGCCGGACCCAGAACCCAGGGAGAAAAGGACTGAGACTTAGTTTCTACCCACCAGCTGCCCCACAGACACCCCCCCCCTGGTTCCTTTGAGCCTGAATTTTGCAGACAGCAGTGGTCTAGCCTCTATCAGGGTATCCTGTCCTTGAGTCTGTATCCCAGAGCCAACATCCCCCACTAGATCCCATCAGTTGTTCCAAGCTCCTGAACTGGGCTGTGCATCAGCGCCCTGCTGCATGATCCACTTCACTCCCACTGTCTCCTGGGCAGGGTGGGAGGGTGGGGTCCCTTCTCTCCTCACTGGCACACCAGAGCCCCCTGTGCCCTGTGCCTTCTGGGATGCTTGTGTGGGTATCATGCATGCCACTGACCCTCGGCTCTGGCTTCCTTGGGAGTCCAGGTCCTCTGTTCCCTCCTCCACACTGGCTGTCTTCTTTAATTTGCTGCCTTTTTTCTGGACAGAGGAAGGGAGATATCAAGCTCTAGGAATGAGATAGGCTGCAGTGAAGGTCCATGGGCAGCAAGGAGGAAGGGCTGCCCTCCTGGGCCCCAGCTGAACCCTTCCACACTTGGCCATGGACACTGGTCTTCTGCTACCTGTCCCTGGGAAGGGTCTCTCAGTCCAGCCCTGGGGTCCCTAAGCTTGGGCCAGAGAAGGCCATCAGGTAAGGGCACTATGGCCCCTATTCTTCCATCTCCCACACCCCAACCTTCCACCCTGTTCCTCTGCAGCCAGCCTTCTGATGCAACCAGAAGATAGTGGATGCAGAGAAGAGTTTGAGATTTAGGCCAGGGGGTTACAGACCCATTCCATCCCAACCTGAAGGACAATGGGTTTAGGGCCCCCAGTCCAGGGGCCCATCAGACCTTGCGCTTGGAGAAGCTGTTCATAAGGAGCCGGCTGTTCCGCCGACTGGCCCCGGCATCCTCCCCAGAGTCTACGTCCTCTTCAGCTTTGCTCTGAGCCCAAGGAAGAGAAAGAGTAGCAGATGTGATCCCGACTCTGAACCTGGTGGGGGGGTATCAGGCCTGATCCAGGAGGCCTTCCAGGAAGTGGAGGACTGAGCCAGACCTGGGCGAGTTTATGGAAGTGCTGGGCTCTTGGGCCAGAACCTAACGCCACTGAGGGGGTTGAGAAGGTGGGATAGGGGCCACTGCCAATGAAAATACAACCAAAAATGAGGGCACGGAGGCACTGATGGAAGTATTTTTGCACACACGCCGAGCTCTCAGTGCTGAATGTTTTCCCACGGAGGATGACGGAATCGCACATGCAGTCTGTGTCTGGAATATTCCTCGGCTCTCTGCTTATGTAACCCTCACAGGAGGCCTGTGCTCTGATGCCCAGCAGGCTCAGCACACACAGGCAGACTCATTAGAGGAGCGAAGCTGGGCTGTGTGAGCGCAAAGTCTCAACGCTGCCTTCTGTTCCCTGTGAGGGCTCCTGGGGTGCAGGCCTGGATATCCACCTGCCATTCATAAAGCTAGTGTCCCACACCTTTCCTGCTCTCCGCCCCGACACCCGCCGCCTGGTGGTCACGCCACTCATTCATGCCTGAGCCCTGAAAGCCTGAGCCACGTGCCTCCACCCACAAGACAACAGCAGCCACACCACCTGTCACCACTAGCCCTTTGTAGATGTCCCCCATCTAGGCCCAGCTCTGCCTTGAAGGGTCCCCCATTCTGTGTCTTAAATCATGCAAGTCTAGGTCTGTGCGCACCCTTGCACACACCCTGCATGCACATGTGCACACGCACACACAACACACACGTGCGCGCGCACACACACAAACGCACCCCTGCAAATGCACTCCTACACATCCCTGGACACACTGACCCTGCTCTGGTCTACTGTGGGTCCTCCATGCCCTGGTGAAGGCCAGTGTCACTTCTTGAGTGTCAGCCGCCTGAGGAACTGAGGCTAACAGCCTCTTATGGACCCCACATTCACAACTAGCTGCCGGGGTAGCCTTGGCACTGGCCTCTGGAGGGGTCATCAGCTGGTACTGGCAAGGCAGCTCCCCAGGGTGATAAATAAGCTCAGACCCCCAAGGGGAAGACACCCTCCACACTTTACAAACACCCCTAGACCCTCTAGAAAACAAAGTGGCCTCACCATCCCAGCGCCCAGGACCTTGGCACGTAAGTGCCCCCATCTCTCTCTCTGTGACTCAGGCCCAGCCTTCTGTGCAGGCCCACAGCTGGCACCCCTGTGACTATGACCTGGGGCCTTCAGAAAGTGGAGCTGAGTGCCTCATATATCTTGCTCCCCAGTCAGAAAGAAGGTGGGTATCTAACCCGAAAGTGGGGTCCACATCCCCAACACACCTTAAAGGCATTCAGCAAGTATAGAGACACCTTTACAGTCGATCAAATCATTGCCACCACCAGCCAGACACCGAGCCAGACATCTGTAGACAGAGCACGTCGCTGGCTGCGGACCCATGTCAGACAGTCTGTCAGTGTGGACGTGGCCAGCAGCTGCCCCGGCCACTCCTGTGCCCCAGAGCCCATGGCCACAGCCCAGACCTTCCTCTTCCCTTCTCCAGAAGCAGAAACCTGGCCATCCCTTCCCACTGCGCCTCTGCCCCCACCCCTCAGCGCACAATGGTGGCACACTGACCAGTGCCTGGACACAGACTCTTAGTAAGAGACACATACTAAGTCCCCAAACACTCTGAGAGATCGGTCTCTCTGCACAGGCTCCAGCAGCGACTTCTCGTCCTCTTAATTTATTGATGATGTGATGGGTGCAGGAGGACCTGGAAGCCGTGCTCAGAGCCCGTGGAGGCCGGCACGCTCCACTGCTCTTTAAACATCACCCAAAATGCTGCTACTGCTACTGCCACTGCCGCTGCCACGAGCCACAGGCGCCTGCCAATCTGCGCCATAATCAGGGGAGCAGCCAGGGCTGGAGGTAACGGAGCAAAGCAAGCACAGCGGACCTGTGCTTACTTACTAATTCTGTAGCAAGCAATTCCACATCTTTCCCTTCACATCAAGGATTCTGCTTCTAGGAATGGCTGGCATCTGTTTCTCTCAGCCCCATAGCATCTTGCTACAGAATCAAAGCTTCTTTTGCAAATACAGTCCCTGGCAGGGATGGCATCTCCAGGAAGTGCACGCTTGCGTGTGCCTCCTCCCTCTCATGAACCTGTTCACTACAGACCAGTAAGAATAAGGAAATCTGTGCTTACTCGCTTAGTGGTGAACCAGCCCTGGAGAAGGCACCACCAGTGACGGCCTAAGCCTCTTGGACCAAGGTGGAATGACGCTGGCACACCCCTTGCTACTCCATGAGCTAAGAGCAGAAGGGCTGTGCCACTCTGCAGAAGTGCCTCGTACCCTCAGTTCCTCCCCTCCAGGGTGTTTCAGGTGGTGATGGGGGACCTGCTGCACTCAGGGACCCCTCCTCCCTCACAGGACCTTCCTATAGGACAGGGAGCATGATAGTCCCAGGTTCCTGTCAGTAGGGTCAGGTCTAGAGAGGGCAGTGCCTGCCCCTGGGGGCCTGAGTGGCTGTGGTGAGGCCACAGAGTCTGCACCCTTCCATGAGTTCTGCAAACAATAGAATCCCCCTCCCCTCACCCCTGCACAAGCATGCCTACACCATGCCCCTCAGGGCTCTCAGACCATTCTAAGCTGCATCATCCCCCTTCACGATGCCTGGGGGAGAGCCTGGAGCAGCTGGTCAGCGTGGGGATCCACCTCTCATCCCCAGCCTCCCAGCCTCAAGGCTCAACCTGAGTCCCACTTCTCCACCTTCAGGAGACCTTGCCCACCCTGGTGCCAAATGCCACTTAGGCCTAAGGTCTCAGAGATCAACTGCTCTCCTTCACACTCCAGGACCCCTGTATGTCCCTCTATAACCCTCGGACCTCAGGACCCCCAAGTGTGCAACCTCAAGTGTGCACCCCCAGGGCTCCAGGTGTAATACCAGCTCCCTTCCGGTTTGGCAAGGCCAGCCCCTCACACCACCCACCTCAGAGCATCAGGTGCCCTGGTGTTTGCATGTCCTACCGCCCTGTCTGGGGACTAGAATAAGTGAGCGTCTGGCAAGCACGAGACCTGCTGGGGCCACCTGCACTAAGTGTCACAGAGTTCCCTGGCGTCAGCTGTGCAGCCTGGTGCTGCGTTCTCGTGGGCGGAAACAAAAACAACCACGTCTAAAAATACAGGTCTTGGCGGGGGCACAGGGAGACGCCAATGCTCCCCCCTAAATCTAGAAAGTGGCAAGGGTCTGCAGGGAAGGGACAGGCAAGCCAGCACGCTAATAGTTGGCTCTCCAGAGAGAGAGAGAGGCAGCCACACCCACTGTGCTTGACTTCTCCAATCCCCGCCCCTTTCACCAACCCCATAGACCTGCCTCTCCCCCCCCCCCAGCCTGGCAAAGCCCCCACACAGACCCAGCTCTCAGACCACTCAGTGGGGAGCCACCCTTCCCAGCTGGTTGTATTCAGCATTCAGCTTCACTCCCCAGCTAGCGCCCCCCCCCCCTTCACTTGCCCATGTTTGCCTAAGGCCACTCTCTGTGTGACTGAGTGCTCCATAGGGATGTGAGTGGCTCCAGCAGGGGTAGGGGGCACCAGGCAGAGGGACATCAGGTAGAAAGGGGGACGAGGGCACAGAGAGCTTTCAGCAGAGGGTGCTGGGCAAAGGAGTTCCATCCTTCTGCCATTGGCTGGGTCTGCTGTTGGGGCCAGTAGGCATGGCTAGCACCACGTTGGTTTGGAACATTCTGGTGGGGGAGCTAGAAGATTCTGCCTCCCAGGAATCCCACAGGAAGGAGCCTGAGACTACCCTGTGCGGCCAAGCCACCTGCCAGTCACACAACACTCCTCCCTGGACAGCTCTCAGATAGGTTCAGCTCTTAGACCCTGCTCGGCCTCTCCCTGCCACTCATAAGACCCCTTCCTAAGGCAGGGACTGGGACACAATGGTGGGTAAATCTCCTTCTGTGAGGAACTGTGGTCACCCAGTGCTGCCTGCCCCTCCAGCCTGAAGATAAGGCAGAGAGGATGGGCTGGGAGCTGCCTGCAGATCCCCAGGGGGACACGCAGGACTATCAGATGACAGAGGAACTGCCAGAGACTGACTTGAAAACAACCACACCGGCATTGCCACCAAGCCCCAGGCTGAGCAGCTCTGTGACAGAGTAAACGGCGCAATTTCGTGCCCAGCATGGACAATCAAAACACAGCTAGTCGCTGCTGTCTAAGAGGACACTGGGGATGGGCCAGTGGGCCAGTGGGCAGTGGAGCCTCATGACTACAGGCAGCGTGTGTGTGTGTGTGTGTCATGTGCATACATATGTGTGCATGTAGATGTGAATGTGCAAGTATACATGTGAATATGCACGTGTGCACACGAATGCAAGATGTGTATTGTTTGCATGTGTTATATATGCAAGTATGTGTATAAGAGTGTGGATACAGGTGTGGACAAAAGTGTGTGTGTGTGTGTGTGTGTATGCATATAGGTATGTAAATTCAGCTGTGTACATGAGATGTGTGTTCACTGAGGTGTGGACATGTGCACACCAATGTGTCTACAAGAGCATGTGTGTGCATGCAGGTGTGTGTATGCATGTGCCCACATGCCGCGTGCACAGCACTCTCTGGGTCTCTCGCCAGGCCTCTGGTGGGTCTAAAACCTGTGCCTCTGGGGAAGAAGACCTGTGTCACAAGCCTCACCTTCTTGCCTTCAGCCCTGTGCCCTAGCTTCCATGAAGGGGACAGGGTAGACACAGAGAAGTCGTTGGGGTCTTCACAGTCCCGGATCTTGGACTCCTTGATGAGGGAATCCAGTTTCCTCTTTGCAATGTTCTCCACACGCTTCCGGTTGGTGGAGGCCTGTAAGAGCCAGACGGCGGCCGGTTGGCGCCTGTCCCCAGACTGGCAGCAGCAGGGCACTCAGCTGGCCGGCTGGGGTTGCTGGAGCCCCGTCCAGGCCCTGCTGTGCTGGCTGTCAACATGCAGGTCAGATCGCTTGTCCCCAGAGCAGATTGCAGAGGGCACGTGATTTTCCTGGGGTTGGGAATGCAGGATGCCACTTCTCCAGGGCCCTGCAGGCCATTTGTGGTCACCAGCCCAATGGACCTCAGAGGCAGGGGTGAAGTAAGTACATCCTCGACCTGCCCTGGGATCTTGGGGGGCATTGAGAAGTGCAGATTCTGGGGTCTCACAGTCTTGGAACCAGCGATGATGGTGCTAGGCATTACGGGCTGATCTGGCACCTCGTACCTGTATGATGCCCACATGGCCCTCATGACCTCAGGCAGCTCAGGGCCAGGGCCTAGCCCAGGAGGCCCCCAAGCCCCACATGGAGCAAGTGGACGTTGAGGACTGCGGCTGTGCCAAATCCTTGAATGATGAGAACACACAGCCACCCCCCTCAAGCGGAAGGATCCGCTGCCTCAGGGCTTTCTAAAACAATTAGCCGAGAGGCTGGGAAGGCTCCTGCACAATTATTTTCCCATCCGATGGCCCCTTGGGGAGAGATACAGTCCTGGCTGCCTTGTCAGCAGCGGCTCAGGCTCAGCGCAGAGGCACCCATGAGAGCGAGGCGTTAATTACAGAGCCCCCAGCCCAATGCCGTGTGAGAACCTGGCTGACGTCTCAGCTTCCACTCGACGGGCCCCAGCCCAGGTGGCCACAAGGAGCAGAAACTAGGAGAGCTACAGAGAGAAGGGACAGCTCAAGAGGGCCCCCTGTGGGGAAGGGGGTCTCTCCATAGATACCTCTGCACCTATGAAGTCCTCTGGGAGCACCTTTGGGTGGGGCCAGTGCTGGGACCAGGTAGCTGGGCAGAATACCCCCATCCCAGGGTCGAGCCAGAGCTGGGGAGGGGACTTGGGCGGGAGTCCAGCTGGTATGTATGGGTAGGGTGGTCTGAGGCCAGGGACTTTTCACTGCTAATAATCATCAGATAAACCAAGAGATGCGTTCTTCACCTTGACGTCAGTGCCACAAGCAACACAGAGCACGCGTTCCAGTGAAGGCAGTGGGGTGGGCAGGGATGGACCAGCAGCCTGGCCGGCTTGGGAATTCCCATGGCTCCTGTCTCTATGTCCCCTGTCCAGCCACCTCCCTTCTTGACTTCCACAGCAGAGACATGAGCCCCTCCTCAGGATGAAGACCACCCACCTCCAGCCCAGGGCTGTCCCATCTCTGCTCCGTCCTCACCTCCCATCCCACCCAGGCCCCACTCACATCCCCATTGAGAAGCTTGCAGTCATCGTCAATCTCGTCGGCACTGTCTTCATCAGACACCTCGCCCTCCTCGGCATCTTCACTGATGTTGGCTGGGAGCTTCTTCCCCTGGGGGAGGAGGCAGATCGTGGGAGGGGCTCCGGGAACCTCAGGGCCTTGGAGGAAGCACTGACAACCTACATCCCAAAGGAGCAACTGGCAAGGAGCCTGGCTTTTCTCAAGTTTGCTTCTGTTGGCAGGGCAGGGCGAAGACCAGAGGCCAGGAGGCAGGGTATGGAAAGGTGGTGGTGACTCAGTGTGCATGTTAGGGGCGGGCGCATCCTGAGATTGCCGCGGCCACTATGTGACACATGGGGAGACTGAGGCAGGTCAAGGTGGAGTCTGGAGGAGAGCCCTCCCAAGTTCAGGTTCCAGGTCCGATGCTGGCCCTGGGAGGGGCAAGGGCTGACCTTCACCAGGATCTTGCCCTTGAGCATCTCTGGAGAGGGAAGCATGGAGAGGTCCTCGCCGCTCACAGACGACAAGTCCAACTTGTCCCCGAGGATATCCGTCAGGTACTGGGCCATCTTCTTCTGCTGGACAACGCTGCAATGGTTCTCTATGGACAGGATCACTGGGTACCTGTGGCCCCGGGGCAGGAAAGGCTGAGTGAGGACAGGGCTTTCCCACCACTCATCAGGAGGGGCCCTTCATCAAGACACCCGGACAGACGAGGTTGGGAGATGCTCCGAGGGGTACCCAGCAACAATTTTGACAAGTGGGTAAGAGAGGACCCGGGAGAACTCAAGGATGAGGAAAGAAGACATGTATTTCATCTTTCAGAAAGAAAAAAAAGAAAGATGATTAAACAAAAGGCAACATCCGTGAAATCTACAGTTAAAAATATAATGCAGACTAAACCAAGACATGACACGGAGCAAGAGACACACAGCGAGAAAAGTAACCTCTTGACATAGACACTGGGGACACTGTCCTTGAACAGGCTGGGGTCCTGCCACTGGCCCCGTGGAGAAGAAGGCATAAGCCTGGCACACACCACCTGGCAGGACACGGCTGTGACGTGCAGGTGGGTGCAGAATGGCGAGTGAGGCTTGGGATGTTCTGTTATAAGCTCCGCAGCTTGTTGCTATTGTGTTTTCAAATCACATGCCTGTTTTCCTTGGACTTTTAACCCAAAGGTAACTATGGTTCTTTTTAGAAACTTTGAGCCCAAAGGAGATAGCATAAACCAGAGCAAGAGGCAGGAAAGGGCTGTAGGAGGAGCAGGAAAGCAGGTCCGGCACAGGTACTCCCACCTCCTCCCATCTCTCAGGTGAGAGACCAAGCCTGGGAACCCACGTGGGGGCTCAAGGGCCTGCAAAGCAGATGTGGACACTTGGGTGCATGCCTGTCCTGAGCCCCTCGCTGCCCTGCTTACTTGGTGGCTGCCCTGAGCTGCCTGCTGTCTCCACCTGCTGCCCCCAGCCTCTTCCTCTGTCCACCCTGACAGCTCAGACAGTCCAGGCTGCCCTTTCAGGAGGACCCTGCTGTCACTATTTCTTCAGTCAACACACTTCTCCTCCTGCCTTATTCGATTAGCTTCTTCCTCACCTTCCAGCCCTGCTTAGTGGAGACCTGAAGGTAACTCTCTGAGTGAGGAAGGCTGTCTTCTATTTCCAGAAACTAAATTGAATTTTGTTCTACGGTGTCTGTGGCCACAGCTGAGTGACAACAAATTGAGTCCGGATGCACAGTGCCTTCTTGGGGGTAATTAGTACTGAAGCCGTCTCAGGAATCTGACATCCTGGGGCGGACGTCAAGTGAGCGTGGGCAGACACTGCTTGCACATACCCATCACGTTAGCTGCCCAGTCCGCACTGCTGGCCTTGTCGCTGGAGCTGTGGGGCTCACTACCCATGCCTGCCCCTTTCTCCTCAATGGGAGACCACTCAGCCAGCCCCCATCAAGCCGAGCCTATCACAGCCACTGCTCCCTCAAAGATGAAAAAGAGGGGCAGGCTAGCCCTCCGGCCCAGCCACTCACTGTTAACGTTGTGTTCTGCCTCTTTTCATTTTCACTTCTAGCAAATCAGCTGTGACTCGTGATGACCCCCACCGCCACGTGCAGGGTTTCCTGGGGCTGTGATGTTGCAGAAGCAGATCTCCTGGTTTGTCTTTGGAGGCATCTTGGGGTGGGTTCAAACCTCTAAACCTTTCCGTTTAGTCGTGGACACGTAAGCATCTGCACCACCCAGAACCCCGACTCACTCGTTCTTGATGAAGGCGTATTTGTTGATGGTTTCGATGACATCTTTGAAGAGGATCTTGGAGGTCAGAGTGTACCCGTGGTGCACAATGGGCTCACCGTCAGGCCCGTCCCAGCAGTCCACTGCGGGCAGACAGGCCACGACGTCAGGGCTGGGGCGTCGGCCACACCCGCCTCACCCCCAGCACACAGGCTTCGGAGCCTGCAGGCCCCAGCCCGTCCACTAGCTCAGGGACCGCACTGAGGGGAGGTCCCCAGGACTTCCTCACCCCACCCCACCCCACCCCACCCCATGGGGTCCCCAGGAGACGGCCACTGCTCACCCTCCACGCAGCGGCAGCCGGCCTGCAGGACCCAGGCATACATGTCCACGCGGGATTGGGACATGAGCTGGTCACCCACGAGGTAGGTGTTGTGGGACGAGGTGATAAAGTAATGGCTCAGCGGGCGACTCATGTCCTGGTGCACGCTGTGGTGAGCAGGGTTGAAGATGTCGCCAGCTGGGCTGCGAGTGTAGTTGGTGAAGCCTGTGGATGGCAGGCAGGGGTGGGGCTCGCCCCTGTTTATCCCCTAGACTGGTCACCCTGGTGGCTCATCTCATGGGGTCCTCAGCTCAGGCCAGTGTCCCATACCCAGCTCATACTGTGGCCAGTGTCCCCCAGCAGCCTCCCCAGGACCGTGGACCCTGGATGGCCCCCACTTACCATCAATGCCCAGTACCCCTTTGCTCTTGTTTTCCGGGCAGGGCTCAAACTGCTCAATGATGTCCCGGCAGCTCTCAAGAGTCACACCTGTCATCTAGGCAGACAGAGCATGTGAACCCAGGCTAGACCATACCTGGGCCAGCCTCAGACAGCCCCCTCCAGCCCTTCCCATCTCCATGGCCTCCTACGTCCTAACCTTGTGCACTTTTTCTCACCCCAGGGAGGGGGTTCTCTGACCACCCCCAGTAACACCTGACTTGAGACAGACTCAGGGGCTAGTGGCCACCAGGTGGGCTCAGCATGGCAAAGTGTCTATGTGGGCAGGTGCAGAGAGCTAGGACTGTATCCTAGCTTTGGGGGACCCTAGGAACATTGGGAAATTCTCAACTATTAACTCCAAGCCCCTGCAGGTGACCCTCATGGGAAGCTGGGTTCTCAGCTGTCCGTAAAATGGCCGTGAACACAGGAGGCCAAGTAGCTCCCCTGTCCCTACTCCAGCACTCATCCAGTGCCTTGTGGGGCTGTCAAGAATCCTGGTGCCCAGGGGCATGTGCTAGGATAGGGTGCAGAGAGGAGGGAGAACAAAACCCACCACAGACCTTTGAGGAGGCCAGAGCCCAGGAGACCTGCCAGGGCTCACCCCACCTGGTAGGTACCATGTGAGCTGCAAACTGGAAGAAGGTTCTAGAAAGCTTGCAAGCAAAAGTCAGGCTGGGAAAGTCAGGCTTGCCCGCCCCTCTAGTTCGGCTCTCTCCTCCACAGAAGCCAGGAGCCTGGACAGAGGACTTGCTGTCACCAGATCTTTACGATGCCCAACAGTGGCCATGTGAGGGAGGAAGCTGGCTCAGAGCAGTAGGAACGAGCCAGCAGAATTGGAGGCTTCCAGTCACAGGAGCCTGGCACCCTGACAGCTGCAAGGCAGGGGTGCCAGAAAGTGGGCCCAGGGGCAGCCATGAAAGGCAGGATGTTGGGGTCCCAGCATGGGGAGCATTGGAGGATCTGCAGGCAGACAACAGATGTTTCCTTGTTGTTCATGACACCTGTGCTTGGGGGCAGGTACACAAGGCTGACTGTGCTCACGGCTACGTGGCACAAGGCACTGTGTGACAGGCTGCCTGAGGTCTGGCACTTCTCATCTCCCTCCTAAGGGTCATCAGGAGGGTCTTGTGATCGGGAGGATCCATGATGCTGGTTCTCAGGGTGACTGCCCTGACAGTCCTGGGGTGAGGGGCACACTCCGTGGGGATCTCTCCTATGGGAGCATTCCCTCCAGCGGGCTCTGCCCCACCTTGCAATGTGGTGGACCTTCAGGCAAGGCTGACCAGCTCAGAGTCTACACACCAGAGGGGCCCAGGAGTGAAGGTATAGACCCTTGAACCTCTGACCAGTAGGGCAGTTATCAGGACAATGTGGCCCCTCAGGCCCTGAGGAGGGGCCAGTCAGACCTATGTGAGGAGCATGGGTAAATAGGAGACAGTCCCCAAAGTCAGGGCTATGGAACCCAAGTCCCCCCTGGAAGGCTGGGTGGCTGTGGACAGGACAGTATCACTGAGAGGCCCCAATGGAGAAACCATGAAACAGCAAATGCTCTGCCCACAAAACAGGCTCCCTGAGTGTCATCAGCAGAGGCAAATTCAGGACCACAGAGGCCCGAATGGACCACACTGGACCTCCCTCACCCTCACCTTCTGCTCCACCTCCAGGAAGCGCTGCAGGTCAGCGGCGTCCAGGTGGTCCTTGTGGTTGCTGTAGGCCAGCAGGAGCAGGTACAGGTCTCGGCGGGTGGACATCACTTTGTAGAAGGCACAGAACTCCTCGAAGTCCAGTGTGCCCTGCTGGTCATCTGTGTCTGCCTCCTGCAAAGAAAGCAAGGCCTCTGCTTCCCCGTCTGCACCACTGCACAGCCACAGGAGGTCTCCAGGCCCAAGTCCTTCATTGGCCCATCAGAACCACATTTCCGCCACCCCTCTGCTTCCCATTGCACTGACATCTTACCATGCCCCAATTTCCGTCACCATACCCTGGGCAATCCTAGCAGAGTGTTTGCCAGTGCCTGTCTTCCTGCCTCTGGTCACCAAGAACCACTAGGACAGACCTTTCAGACACAAATCTGAACCCTGGTTCTGTGTCTTCCAGGGTCAATCTGCAGTCAAGCCATGATGCTCCCTGAGAGTCAGCACCCACCCCAGCTTCCACATCGCTGAACCTCTAATTAATCCAACGCTCATCAATTAGGAACGTTCATTAGCCTGGGAGGCCTAGGCCCCCCATTTCCCCAGCAGAGACAAGCAGGACCTGTTCACAACCGTTGCCTTCCTTTCACTCCCAAGATGCCCCCCATAGACTTCTGGGTTTCCTGGCAATGTCAATGACTCCACACACAGACCCACCAGGGACTCTAGAGAGTGTATGTGGTCCTTGGTGAACCCACATGCTTATTGCATTCACTGACAGCATGCCAGACCCTGGGAGGCTGAGGGACAAGGCACGGCCCTGGTATTCCAGTGGCTGGAGACTAAAGGATGCCTGAGGTGTTCAGAGGCTTCTAGAAGGTGGAGTGTAGAAGAAAGGCTGCTTGAGATGCTTGAGTAGAGGAGCTGAGCTCCCTCAAAAAGGAGAGCCCCAGTGGGCTGGACTGGGAATAAGATCTGCTTGGAAACACTAAACTCGGCCTAGCACCCAGCTCAGTCCCTCACCCCATAGGAGTATCTGGCCAGCAGTCCCAGAGCCTGGCCTCTGCACACTGCAGAGCAGATGAGCTTAGGAAACCAGGCCAGCAGCCGCAGGTATCCAGTCTCTAGACCCTCATCTATCCCTGTTAAGGGACAAAGCGTCATTGACATAGAAGTAGTTCCATGCCCACCATGCCAGCAAGGCAGAGAAGCCCTGGGTGGGTGCACTTGGGGCCCTAGGAGATTCTGGAGGTGAGGAACTACAACAGCTACTCTTAGGATCTCCCAGGGAGCCCAGAAGAGCCCACTGTGGTTGTCAACAAGTCTGGACAAGGGAGAGAGCAGGATACCAGGGGTCATGCTCTTGGCAGGACAACCTAACTTCTATGTGCAGGTGAGAGCCCAGAGCCCTCATTCCCTGAGGGATCAGAAGAGCAGGGCAGGAAATGCTGTCAGCACCATGGACAGCACAACACTCAGCCCTCTGGAGGACAGCAGGAGAGGAGGTCCTCCAACGTCCCTTCTGAGCTGGCAGCATCCCAATGAGTGTGGTGGCCACTGTCCACATCCTACCCCCAGGAAAGTGGGTCTTCTACTGAGCCTGGGCCTTGGTGTGCCTTCTGGCTGTGCCCAAGCACAGGACTTGGCCTGGCAGCAGGCACCCTGCTTTTCACCATTCCCTCTGGGACCTGAGAACTGAGGCAAGGGCAGCACCAGGTCAATGTGAGGGACCTGGCCGGATGCTAAAGGAAGACCCTAGTGCATCCGACATAGATTAAAAGGCAGCCATGAGTCTGAGGTGAGGCAGTAGTGGTTCAGTGGTGGAATTCTCGCCTTCCGTGCTGGAGAACCAGGTTCAGGTCCCAGGCAATGGAGCCAGCACCCATCTCGGTGGAGGCTTGTGTGTTGCCATGACACTGAATGGGTTTCAGCAGATCTTTCTAAGATTGACTAAGATGGAAGGTCTAGTGATATATCTTTTAAAAATTGGCCAGTAAAAAAAAAAAATCTTATGGATGCTAACAGCCTAACCCACGCTGCATCACGGGGATGGTGCTGGGATGGGCGTTTCAGACCATGATGCATGGGGACACCATGAGGCAGGGCCTGGTGTCCTGACAGAGGATCGAGGTCAGGAGTGTCCAGACACACCTCCCCCAGCCCCCATGGGCTTCTTCCAGCCAGGACTCTTCCCAGGGATCTCAGCCCCAGGAGCCAGGAAACTTCACAGTTGCTTGAGAGAGGGCTTAGTTTCTCTCCTATCTAATTGCTTGATACCCCACAAAGCCTCACCTCCCAGGAAGGGCCACCAACTCCACAGCTGTCCCCAGCGCAGGGACGCGCTGTGGACAGTTGGTGGGTGACACACCCACCCCGCCCCCCATCCTCACAGGCAGAATCAGAGCAACCCCTGTACCCCTCTCCATCCACGCACATCTGATCCAGGCCGGCTGCCTCGCTCCAGCCAAGCACAACCAGCATGTCCATCTCAAGATAAGCTGTAAGAGCCCAGGGCACCCCAGGAGAGCTGTCAGGCTGCAGCAGAGCCGGGGGGTGGGGTGCAGAGCCTGTCATCACCCTCAGATCCCTCCTCCAGGTGGAAGCAAGGCAGTGAAGCCCAGGACGGGGCAGTGGGGCTTGAGACCAGCCCAGCCTCGTGCTGCCACCCACCTGGAGCAGGATCTGCTGACAGCCCTGCTCCCCCCGCCTCAGCAGGGGTACCAGAAAGACAGAAGCTAATTACAGACAATAAAGGCTGCGGCTCTGGCTGAAGTGTCTTGGGGATGCATTTTCATAACTTCTAACAACTAGCAGCGGGGTGGATAGGGGGCTGTAGAGGCCGGGAGATGGTAGAAGTAGGTGGCCAGGTGGCACCTGCTACAGCACATGGGATCCAGGCTGGGCTGGGTTTGTTCCTTTGTGGCATTGTTAGGGGACCATGGAGACGGGCCATGGCCTCCTCTGGGTACTTCCCTCAAGGAGTCAACTCTTGCACCCCAAGTCCAGTCTGGTCCCCAGGGTAAGACTAGTGGTTGGCACCCAGTTCCATATTCCCAGGGTTGGTGAAGCAGCACCTACCTAGCTGTGTCCCTGTGCTCACTGTAGACAATCCCTCTTCACTCAGCAGACTCTCTCTCAGGCAAGGCTGACCGCTCCCCTCACCCCATCTCTGCAGGGAGCCCCGCCCCCATCAGGAAGCCCCCTCCCACCTTGAACATCTGCTTCACGCGCTGCCGTGGCAGGTTCACGTTAAGCTTGTGCAGCAGCTGCAGGACCTCGCCGATGCTCAGGCTTCCGTCCCCGTTCTTGTCGGCCTCGTCGAACGTCTGCTTCAGCCACTTTGGGGCCGAGTTAAGGGCCAACATCGACCACAGGGGCAAGGGCACCACCCACTTCCCGCGCACGCGATCCCTCACACATTCCCCTCACACTGAGAGCTTCCCCAGGGTGGAACCGGCCTGAGGGGGACAGGTTGGGGTGCTGCCCCTGCCCCTGCCCTGATTCACCCCAAGGATATTGGTCCCTGGTGCGCTGCCGACGGGCCAGGCTGTCCTCGTCGCTGATGCCAGCCATCAGATAGCGCAGGCCGGTGACCCAGATACGGGCCTCGTCCCCACTGGAGGAGACCAGGTCCAGTGAGTCCCGGTGGTCACCGTAGTAGACGCTGAAGCAGCAGTTGGGGTCGAAGCTGCCATCGGGGTAGCGCTGGAAGATCTCGGACTGCCGGCCCTCGCTCACCTCCTGGATGGAGTCAATGGAGACTGCAGGGGGCAGAGAAGGGTCAGTGGAGCCCGAGTGCCTTTAGCCTGTTGGTTTTGCCCACACCCAGTCCCCAGCCCATAACCTGGAGCCCACAGGGCTTGAGATCTCTTCTGAAGGGCCTAGTGACCTGGGCCGTGTGACAACGATGGGCCGTTGCCATAGCAACAGCTCAGCACCAAGTCTCAGCCCCTCCAAGCCCTCAAACGCCAAGCCTGTTACACTTCTGGGGGCTCCTTTCTGACATGAGAATGAAGCTCGCTCACCCCCATAGGGCACAACTCTGGTTCTAGGGGGTCGGGGCAGAAGCTCAGGCATGAAAAAGAGGGACCCTCCTGGGAGCTGGTGAGTGATAACGACCCCCTCCCCTCCAGGGCTCCACACAGCCACCTTCTCATCTCCCACCTGAGCCCTGTCTAACCTGCACTGGTGAGAGATCACCTGATAAATGAGGGGTGCACTTAGAGTAGGGGTTCCAACTGGGAGAAGGAAACAATGCATTGTGCTCGGGCAGCCAAGTCTTCCTCCACAGCCTTCCCCTCGTTCAGGCAGTGTGGTTCCGTGCCTCAACTTTAAGCATGAAAAAGACACCCCTGGAAAAGGGAGGAGCCTCATCTTCCTGTGAGCGCCCTGGTCCAGAAGCAATGAGGTTGTACGGAGCAGCCAGACCACCTGCCTGGCCAGCTAGCCCATCCCCCTCCTACAGTTGCTAGCGGACTGCTCAGGCCACCACCTACCATGCTGGGCACCAGTGGGAGTGGGAGGACAGAGGCCTGGGCCTCCTAACA